AGATAGATAGATAGATAGATAGATAGATAGATAGATAGATAGATAGATAGATAGATAGATACGTTTTGGAATTTGTACATAAAGCCTTATGAGTAAGAAAAGGTAAAAAACAGATCTAAACTAAGTTTGAAACTTTATCAAAATACCTAATGCTTTAGAGGAGGTGCTTCAGCTAATGGCAAACTACAAACAATTTGGACTTCATTTTCATTTTGTCTGTGAAAAAATAAARTCAGTCATGCAAATAAAGTGTAAACAAAAGAATCGATTGCATTGCGCTAGTATAGATCCAATACCAATACTCATTTAGGCATCAATAGAATCAATACTAAGATTGATACTTTACTACTACTACTTTAACAGGCCTCTCCTTGACATTCCCTCTGGAAAAAGTAAACAAACAATAATTTTGACTTTTCCATTTGTTTCTATRGATGTTTGGTTTGAACTGCAACAACAGAAAAGCAACAGTTTAAGAAACTAAGCTATGACAGCTCATTGTTTTGCAAACCCTTACCTCTGCCATTTTCCATGTCCCAGCAGGTGTGCACAGACAAAACATTCCCCAGGGGTTTGTGCACAATTTATTGGTTCCAGGACTGCATCATTATAATAAATGGTTAAGGTGGGTGGCTTAGCAAAACAACGCTTTTTTTGTTAAATTTTAGAGCAATTACTGGAAATAAATTAACTGTATTCACTTTGTATTTGTTTGTGAATAGTTGTAGTGTTTTTGATTGTATTTAATGTACATATTCTTGCTGTATTCTTCATTTTTGCAGTTGTTTGTCCTCCGAAAATGTTTTTTTCCCCCAGTTTAGATCCAATTCAATGTTTGGTGTTGTTCTTATATATAACTCTTATTAAAATAAGCTTCAACTGATCTCATTCTGAGCTTGATTATTGTTCACAACTGAGTCCCRCCTCTATGGCCGCTTGACCACCTTGACAAGAATGTGACAAGATTTAACCAAAATGGCTTTGAATCTGTTTTWTCACATCATAAGGTGATGTTAGTTTTAAACTGATGTAAAAAGCAGTGAGTGGCGTGTTCCAAGAAGGACTCTAATTGAGATTTTTCTGCCTTTTTGACTTTCTCAAAAATGCAGTTTCATCCGTTTTAAGGTCTCTCTCTTTCCTTTGTGAAGGATAAAGCTGGGTGAGGACGGGGAAGCATCATCTGTGGCTTACACAGTTAAACATTCAATTATCTATAAAATACACAACAGAGGCTTCAGTCAAGTAAATGACAAACTGAAGGCAAAGAGCTCTTMAGAGCTGCCCCCGTTAACACCGATTTTTATAGATCTCCTCACATGCCACCCTGTAAGGTGCTCAGTTATTTGCATGAATATGTGCAGAGAGGATCTGTCCTTGCTGAGAGCAAAGTATGATAATGCAGAAGCAAACACAGCTGAGAGTCAAAGCAAACYAATTCATAGCTTTGTTTAAAAAAAGAAAAGAAAAGAAAAGAAAAAAGCCAAAGGGCTGGCTGCTCATCTCAGCGACAGCACTACACACACTGGATGAACAATTATTCAGCGTTAGACTGGAAGAAAAAAAAATATTAATCTATTTATTCATGGCTTGTTGAATCAGCTTTATCTCCTGTGATTAATCCAAGTCAATAATGTATTATTTAATTATAACGAATGGCCTTATTACCTACGTCAAATAATCATAGCAGTCTGCCGCTGCTGACGAGATGAAAACAGATTTCTTTGATACGTGACTGTGTTTTTTTTCCTGACTTAAATTAGAGCAGTCAGACCACTTGAGACTTAAATACACAGATGTCAGTTCAGGATTCTTTGGGGGGGAAATGTCTTTTTGTCAACATATTTACCATTCAATTATCAAAGCTTTTACAGATARTCTCTTACGAGGTTCTTTGTAAACAAATGTAAGCTACAAGTCAATGCCACAGATCCTGGTCCGCTTACAGGAAAACAAAAAAACTAAAATGTCAGAAAACACTAAAATTATGTTTCATCATCCCCTGTTCTCCCCTCAAGAGCCCTGGATCCATGAAGCTATTACCAAAATAAAACATCTGCTGCTCCCGGTACGATCAATCGAAAGAAAACACATTACAAGGAACCGATCTGGAAGGAGGGGCCCCACGAGAACACGAATAATGACCCATTTGTGCAGGGCTCCTTTCTGTTTGTACATGTGTGCATGTGATTAATAATCACCAGTCATGATGACTGTTTGCTGTAACAAATGATACACGATTTGCAGTTACAGGCGACACACAGACGAGCACAGGAAGTGTGACTGCATGCGTCTTCATCCTACAACTCCCAGTCTCCTCTCCAAAGTTGTGTTCCCCACCAGGACACGAGGAGAGGGAGTTGTCATGCAGGGATGCAGCCTGAAGCAAATCTAACTGACAGCGCCAGAAAAAAAAAAAAGAAATTCAGATCACAGAGGTGACAGAGACATAACAGCAGCTTGGGGAACTTTCAACAGGAYGTTAATCTGCAACAAAGTCACTCAGTGTCAAAAAGAGAGGTACAGGACGATGCTCGGACCGACACGGGACAGAGATCTTCTGGCAYCACGTGTCTGCTAATTACTCCACGAGGAGCGAGCGTCAACGTGTCACAGGATGCTGCTTGTCAAGATTATACAAAGCTTTCACGTTGACGGGAGTTTTATCGAAGTTTTCGGCTCCCCCGAGGAGTTTGGCATTTTCTTTTGCTTGATTAAATAGTTTATAAAAAATGTAATGCATTTTAATGTCTGGTAATTTTATGTCTAAATGTGGGAGAAAAATAAATGTTTTTTTTCTTTTCTTTTTAAATACAACTTTATGAAAAAGCAATCAGTTTGGTTACATTGTCTCACTGTGCCATCTGTGTGATAAGACAGATTCGTTGGCTCGTTCGAAGGTGACCATATCAATGTTCAACACCCTCTATTAAGACTTGACACCTGCAGTTTATCATCCCTGAAGCAATTGCATATTCCTTTTCCTGCAGGAGAGACGGGGGGAATCCATCTCCTGTAAGGACAATGCTTTAAATAAATAGTGCACAGAAAATAGGCACAAACTCTCCTCCTTTCACCTGATCCTTTCACTCCCTCTCTCTCTCTTTCCCTCTCTCTTTCCCTTTCACACACACACATAAATGCACTTTCCCTCTCATGGAAATTGTTTCATTCCTTTTAGTCAATCTAGCTAATGCAAAAATCATGTATGTCAGTCTTTAAATATTTAATCCTAACAGCAGCAGGACTGAAATGCAACATTCAAGAAGCTTTACTCCCCTCCCTCCCCGAAGGGTACAAGAGCTGAGAGCAGAGAGGCAGGCGGGAGGCAGCCGCTCTGCAACGTCAGGCGGCGAGAGTGGGAGCGACAGGGAGCGATGGAAAAAGGAGAAAGAAGAGACTTGGCTATTTTCYGTGACAATTTTGTTGCCATGTTAGCGGCTGGGGTAGAGACAGCGATAAAGCACAGTTTGCCTTGGAAAGAAAGAAAGAAAGAAAAGTACACGACCACATATGACAGCTCTGTGTTTTCCCTCTCTGGGAGCAGACTTTGTTCTTCGACGTAACAGATTGCATGGCTGACGAGAAACACTGTTGCTGCTCAGAACTTGGAGAGATGAGACACGGCTCAGTGACTGAGCAGGGAGCCATGAATTTTGCATGCTGAACCGTACCGTGGGAACCAAATGCCCCACGGAGTCRGGTTTAAAAACAGAGAATTCCTCTCCTCTCAAAGTGCTCGCTTTGATTTCTCTCTTATCTGTAGTTTTGTGTGAGAAACAACCCTCAAAGGTTTAGAACAACAGAGTAGGTTTAACAAAAGAAATGCACTGATGGAGTCAAATCATCCCAAGTTGTTCGTGTAACACGACGAGAGACGAGCACAACAAAAAAGGCAGAACTTTAAGAAACTTTTGCACTCACCACAGAGAAGTCGTCAGCTGAGCAGTTCTGTCCACTGAAATTGCAGCTCATCAGCATCTCCTCCAGCTGATGTCCCGTCCTGTTGAAGATGTCCTGCATGTCAGGCGCAGGATACATTAAATCAGTGGGCTTGTGTCCGTCCCTGTTTTTGGGGGGCAGACCTGTCAAGTTCGCCAGGTGGTAGATGTCGGCATCGGTCAGCGCGGAGAAGCGGAAGCGGTTGATGTTGCAGATGGTCACCGCGGGGAAAACCATCTCAGGAGTTGCCTCTTCGTTCAAAGCCGTGACATGAGGGTGCTCCAGGTAAGAGATGGCACACTTTGCGGCTTGGTACAGAAAGAGTGCGAGAGAAGTCAGAAAGGCAAGAGCCCACAGAGTCTGCCGGATGCCCAGGCGGCCAGAGACGAAGATGTGGTTAATCCCATGGAGGGTGCAGGAGTTAGCAAACCCAGCCAAGTCTTTGGCCGGCGGCGTGCAGCTCTCCTCGATCAGGCTCTCCTTATCCCCATCTTGCTGGCTTTTCTGCTTCTCATCCTCCTCTGCAAATTTGATTTTGCAAACAAATTCGATAGGCATGTGGGCAGCCAGGTCTGCGTTTTTTTTTTTTTTGTTTTGTTTTAGATCGCAGCTATCAGCCCTGGATCACTTCCCTCCTACTTCCCCTGGCTTTTGTCCTCAGAGTGGGAAACAACTCCAAAAAGAAGAGGGAAAAGGACGGGAGAGAGTTTGTTGCTGCTGCTGCTTTCGCTGCTGCCCGAGCTGTGACTGATGCTGCTGCTGCCTCTGCTGCCACGGCTCCTTGTGACTACAGCGCTGCTGCTGCTGCTGCTGCGAATGCTTGTCTCACTACTTGATCAGCTCGCACAATCCGGCTTATCGGCAGTAACACAACTGTCAAAAAAATGTTCAAAATAAAACAACAGCAGCTGAAAGTAAATGCCCTTGCTCGTCGCCCTAAAACCACAGATGAAAAGGCAGTTTTGAGGATGGCTAAAATAAGAACAGGGAGTGAATTTTTCATGAGAAGGTAGGATTGCGATTATTTCCTCCTCACTGGTGCGAGCCACAGCTCCCCCCTCCCAGTCATCCCCTCCAGTGTCCTGCCAACAGATGCCCCCCTCCTGCGTAATCCACTTGTTTGACTTGTTCTTTCACTTCTTGGGGTCAGAGGTTACCCCTTCAAAAAACAAAAAGAAAAACACAAATGTTTGCTGTGAACTGCAGGAGGTCCCTGGACTTTAATGCCTCCCAGAAGAGGTGGTCTCGGGAGAATTTCTAATTGAAACCATAATGAGGAGAAGTGGGACTGAGCGCGAGGAGACCGCTGGCAATCAATCTTGTCTTTGCAACAAAAAAAAGGTAAAAGACTATTGATCGCGTGAATGTGTCTGTCAGAGATTAAGAAAGGCAGTTCAAACATTGTTGCCTTATCAGAAACTGATGGTGGCATCACAAGAGTCCTGCGTGAATCTGAATTAGGGGACACATCCCTATCCGGACCCCCCRATGCTGCTAAAGATGTTAAAATCAGGTATTGACCTGCCTCTGTTCCCACTCTTTACAGTGTGTGTTTTAGCRCAGTTAATGGCCCTTTTCCAAGTTGCCAAACAAAATTATGCAAAGAGGAGGCAGAATAGTGAGAGCCCTAACCCGTTGTTCCCCTTTAAATGGAATTAGYCATGCGGGTCACGTCACATGGGGCTGGGACCTCTGGAGAAAAGGCATATTTAAAAGTGAATTTGGCCACTTTAAACACGTGCCAAGTCAAACGGGTGAGGGCGTCCAAAACGTGCCGTTACTAAGGGGGAGCAAATACTGGAACAAAACTAATGACGGGATAAAAGACGTCAATTGTTTCTTTAATCCTTCTTAATGTTTCTTTTTGTGCAAGACAACCTGTTTCTAAATAAAAACATTTTGTCATAAAATAACACTAAATAACACTAAATGTTAATTAGATTTAAGTCAGAAGAAAATTGTACAAATCGTTTTCCTGGTCGAAAAAAAAAAAAACAGCAGAACAGCACGTTCTTTACTATGTGATGAGAAATTCTTGTTTCCTTCTTTTGTASTTTGTGCCTTTTGTCACTGCAGTCCTTTTATAGATTTGCTTTTTGTGATTGGTTTTTACCCAGATTGTATTTGATTTTGTATTCCACTGAGATAAACAGAGACATGTAGGATATTAYTTTTACTTTTATATAACTGAAGCATCAGTGTTTTAACTCTGCCTCCAGCAGGCAGTGCGCTCTGCTAACAACAGTTTTTTTTTTTCATGTAGTCATCCCCAGAAGATTCTGGGTTTAGTTTCCATCTCACAAAGGGAATAAAAGCGCGCGGTTCACGCAACRACTAAATACTAAATGTGAATAAAAAGCATGCAGACACATCTTGTGGATGAAAACCATTCATGRAGTAAATGACATTGTATTAGTTTGTCAGAGCCAATAACACTCTCAACAAGAAGCCCTCTTTGGGTTGCATTAAAAAAAACACGATTAAGTGCCGCTGACCTTCAAGTTATTTTTGACACTGTGAGTAATGTCTYACTTTGTGGGAGCTGGGGGTTGATGTACTTTAGAACCTCATGGTCACATATGAAGATGKTTTTTTCAGCATTACCTTAGACGAGAGAAAAACCACAAATAATATGTAAAATTAGCCAGTTGTGGAAAATTGATTGAGAAATAATCTGAACATTTGGACAAATTATGTTTTCTTTCTGAGGAAAAATATAGTTGTATCTTCTAGGACACAAGAGCTCCATCTGTTGGATGTCCCTGCAGTCAGTGATTTACATCAGCTAAATATAATTTTAGTCAACTAACCTAAAAAAAGGAAAGCTGTCATTATTTCAAACTAACAGTTTATTTCCCTAGAAGTATTTAGACAATTTAAAATCTTTCGAGTTTACTCCTAAGCAGAGTCACTAAAAAAATACGTGTTTTCTCCTCATCTTTTCCTGAGAATTTTCTGATTTACTTCAAACATATACTTCACACTGACTGGCCATTTCATTATATCTATTTATTTGTCTAAAACTCATATTTTTTGTTGATGTTTCTGCTGATTAGCTGCAGTGTTTTCTCATTAACTGAGCAGCAGCACTGATATAAACAAGTAGGGGTCTCTGCAGTAAATAGGGGGGAGTTGCTTGTTGTGTGGGCGGAGTTTGTTCTAAACGTGATTGGTGGAGTTTTTGATGTGGGCGGAGTTTGTTCTAAAGGTGAAGCTGGTGTGCACTTGAAGTTTGTCCTAACCAGGATTTTTGGAGTTTGGATAATAGATGTAGGCTGGGTGTGGGCGGAGCTTGGCAAAACCGTGATTGATCGGATTGACTTGTCTTGTGGGGCAATTTAAAACACGAAGTGATGGTGATAGTAAAATGATTGTGAACATCTAAATATGATTTATTGACTGTCTATGTACAGTTTAAAACAGAACAATGTCTTAAATGAAAATTATTGTGAACATGTAAACAATTTATTGACCTCAAATTTTGTGCGGCAAACACTTTACTCTTTCAACTTGTCACTAATATTAATTAATACTCAAATATAGCAATCATTTTACATCCCTCCACGTGTACGATGTTCAAATTTTGTGCAAACAGCTAGGCCTGTCGCGATAGATAATAAATCAATTAATTGCACGATAACTTTTTTAGAGGTCGGTAAAAAAAAGACGGCGATAAGTTTCATTTTCCTGCTTGTTTGTTTACTTCGTGTCTCTCCCTCTC